TGGCTCCCATTTTCCCCCGCATTGGGGAAATATAAAAAGTTAAGTACTGAATAAACACGCTTTGAAACGCTTGAAAATTGGAACAAGAACGTAATATTTACCTGATATTGTTAAGTAAACAGCTCTACAAAATCTAACTAAATTAATTTTGTTTCACAAAAGTGATATTCAAGCAGAAGATGGGCTTATTGATTCTGTGCTGCTATTTGAAGTACCTATTTCTTGATTTAGTACCTATATTAATTAAATGAATTAATCTTTCTTCATTTTTGCAAATTTGTTTACTATGACATAGGTCGGCAAACGAAGATCACCTGATTGTAAAAAATTGGCGCCACACATGCACTCGTTCTAAAAAAGTTTCTTCTGGCCTCTTGTGAAAATTACCGATTTTAGGATAATTTGAGGATTGAGGAACAATCATATCATGATTGAAGACTATACAGGGGGAAGAATTGGAGTTCCGGTAACCTCACACAGAGGGCGAAACACATGTAAATGTTGCTTCACGCTGGTTTTCTGTGAGACCGTGGTGTTACTTCTTCTATTTTTTTCAAGTACACGCTTCCCCACACTAGGATTTTCACCTGTGTGGGTGCGTTTACAAACATTCAATTTGTGGATCACACAAAGTGTTATTATCGAACCCGCGACACGTTGCACAGCAGCCAGTAGCACAGCCACCGCACCAATCGTGCAGTCATACTCCGATCGAACCAGTCCATTCGCGTCGAAGCATGGCTTCCCACACTTCGATACTTCTAAGAGATATTTTCAGGTCATCAATTTACATACAACTGGATCTGGCTCTGGATAGCCCTCATGATTATTTCTATTAGGCTCAATGTAGATAGGCACCTGTAAAACCTACACCTGACCCTAAGTATTACCAAGTCGCCATTCGTTTGCCCCCAGACCACAAAGTCTACAATAGCAGCACAACAATAGGGTTCAGAAATGAAACTGCAACGTCATCGATTGGTACAATCTTAAACCGGACGTTGTCTGTATTGGAAGTTGAGACGAGATTGAAAATATTTTACAATACTTACGATTCCAGATGTTCTTATAGTTAATATTTTTTAACTTACGTCGTCTTTCGTTTATGTTTATTTTTATAAACGAAAAAATGGTGGTGTAGACGCTCAACCAGATAACTAGTGTTTTTTTTTTGTTTTTTTTTTAGATAAATACGTTGCCCCACTCTAGGATTTTCTCCTGTGTCGTGGGTGCGTTTACAAACATGTTATTTCACATGCACATTACGCCCAGACCCGGAACAACAATCTGTGGATCACACAAAGCGTTGTTGTTATTATGACTCCTAAAATCTCCCTAAATCAATAAAAGTCATGGTGCTGTGGTCTGTCTGTTAAACCTGCCCCCTTTCCAATATTTACTCCTTACCTGTAATACTAAGAACACCTGCTTCCATTTGTTCTTGTACGTACTTTATGTAGTAGAAACACGACATACTACATCACCTACGATGACAAAATATACTTGTTCTGAGACAGGATATAATAGCTGTGCGAGATACCAATGAAATATGGTCACTGTTCGCGCAGCTAGTGGTCGGAATATATTCAATTGATAAAATATAATACATTAAGTGACACTTAATTCTTGAATGTTTTTCTCTAAGTAATCTTTAAAATGAAATGGAGAGATACCGGCGTTGTTATAAAAAAATAATTAATTTTCAAGTTTGTAAATAATATTAAGCCAACTTGGTCATTCGTTACCCTTATGTTTTATACGATTATCATTTCGGTAATGTTATTATAGTAATTTTCTAAAAACTTTGAGCAGCTTATTCTATCTTTATCAAGATCGGGAATTTCTTGATACACGAAGCACGCACACAGACATAAAAAAGTGTATACAGATATTTACTACATATCTGTATCGCCAAATAAGTTCTAAAGTCTAGGTTTCCATACTAAACTTTGTCTTTTCAACGACATATTGTCTTTCCCAATTACCTTTGTTACTCGTACAACAAATAAGCATACAACGTAGACTTTCATACATTTAAGAGAGTAAATTATGTAATTATTGAGTTGCAAAACTAATTTCTTAATTGTGCTTTGAAAATCTTCAAAAGTTATAATGAAACCTTGAAATTATTTAACTTTTGACAGACATTTTCAGATATATTTTGGCTCAAAAATATTTTGCACATCCGACAGTACCTACCTACGTATCAAAATTGTTGGGACAGAAGCGATTTTGTTACAAGAGTTTGCAAGTCAATATAAAGTTATAATAAGTTTGATTTGCAATTAGGTACCTTCTACGTGGGTCGGTAGATATATAGGTATTTCATTTCCTTATTTCCTTTTCATATTTTTGGTTTGTACATAATGTAATCTGGCAACGATGACGTCTAATATCCCTATATCATTTGCACGTGAACTCCTATGGCCTATTAGGTTTGCCAGAATCACCAGGCAAGCAAGCAGGTTCGATCGCAGTTCAAAGGATTCAAGTTTATAATAATACCAGCGACCCCGCTTGGCACGGGTGCAATGCTGACACTTAATTTCTCCATTATTTAATGGATTATGAATAATATATTATACATATAAACATTCCTCCTCAATCACTCTATCTATTAAAACTGCATCAAAATCTGTTGCGTAGTTTTAAAGATTTAAGCATACATAGGGATTATGGGGACAGGGAAAGCGAAGCAAGCGTGTCGTTTTATAATATGTAATGTAGAAGACATAAGAGGGAGCTGCTACCTTTTCAGTTAACGTGTAGTCTATCAGTCCTCCTTCAGGTCATCTGTATGGCGATAAATATTTCCGACGTCATGAAATTTTCTAACTCGACTTTCTTAGAAATAAAAATATAGACCACTGACTTTACTGAAACAATTTTTCAACAAATTATTCAAATAAAATCAAATTGTGCTAATCCATTTTGATGGACTAACTAAGCAGAGATAAATGTTTAATTAAACATTTTTAGGTTTAGTTAGACACTTTGAAGTATAATTTAAATACAATGTCAGAAGTTTAGTCAAGACGTGACAGTCAATCTAAAAATACGTGGGTCTTAATAATGTAAAAGCTACTTTCGAAAAAGTTATAATACTTGTGAGACTTGGATTTTCGTCTTAACATTTTTAGCAAAACTTTAACTGTTCGGGCGATAACTTTTATTGTTTTACAGGGATAAAATACTTTTTGTATTAAGGTTTAAGACTTTTACAAGTCTTCAGCTTGGTAAATAAATATACGAAAATGTTTTCTGTGTACCGCAGAAGTCATGTATTCTGAGGTACCTACACAAAAAACATTTTCGTACATTGAGATCCAAAAAAATATACTTTCATTTATAAATGAAGAAACAATCTGAACATGGAATGAATGATATAGACTGCACTGTTGGCTCAGTGGCTGGGCAACAGGCTGCTGTACAACGTGTCGCGGGTTCGATTCCCGCACGGAACAACACTTTGTGTGATCCACAAATTGTTGTTTCGAGTCTAGGTGTGTTGTGTAAGTGAATTTGTATGTTAGTAAACGCACCCACAACACAGAAGAAAAACACAGAGTAGTACAACTTTAAAAAAAAAAATAAAGAAAGAAAATAATGTTTTAAAACGTGTTAACCTAACCAGGGCCCGTCCCCCCTTTCGTCAATATCCAATTCCCTAATTCTCAAATACATAACAATCAAAAGGGCGGCACAGCAATTCAAACTCCTCTGCTTTGCGTAAATCCATAAGCGACACAGATTGCTTAAAATCAGGTGATACAGATTTCTCTACGTTCAAACCTTCTCTGGACTTCCATGAAAAATTCAACCAAAATTAGCTAAAAAGTAAAAGGCATTGTTGAGTTATAACATTACAACGAAAAGTGGCATTGATTTTTATATAAGTATAGCTTCTTTGGTGTGATTACACACACTACACTACACTGACACATAGTATTTTGGTTTAGGTTTGAGATAGTCAAGGCATGGAGAAAGTCCAACAACTCTTATTGGATTCAAAATAAAATCCATCAATTACTTTATTCCACTTTATAATTCAAATAATTTATATAAAATGTTTACATATTGTTATTAACTGATTTAGAATTAAACTCATTGTTTATTAATATTTTGATATGAATATTTCTGTTATAATTATCGTATTGATGAGTAGACAAACATTGTGTCCATATTCTGTACAGTAAAATATTTCAGTTTTATTATATGAAATAATTACATCTAAGTAATTAAGCCATATTTTGAATATCACTGTATTTGTAGTAAAATCCAATTTTCAATAGGTATAAAGATATCTACGTACTGTTTAAATAAGACCTGGCAATTGATTGCTGAATGAATGAATGATGAATTGATTGAACTCGAAAACCCATAAAATAAAAAGTTTCGATTTCCAATCCCCCCATCCCCAATCCTTAAATCCCGACACACTGGCGATGATCTTTCAACTCATGTGTGTCATTGGATAAAGATAAAAATAATTAATAATTATAAATAATTTGTTGAAGAAGATCGTTCTTTTTTTATGGGGTTGATCGTCATACGAGCCGATGGATTATCTAATGGTAAGCAATCGACGCCACCTATGGATCCCTGCAACACCAAAAAAGTTACGAATATGTTACCGTCCTATTAAGGGATAAAGGGATAAGAGTTTCAGATATTTAAGGATTGGGATGGTATACGCGAAGAGGAAGGATTGGGCCTTCAGTAACCTCGCTCACACGTTGAAACAAATCTTTGTGGTTGTTTCTGACCGGTTTTCTGTGAAGCCGTGGTATCACTCCGATCGAGCTGACCTATTCGTGCTGAAGCTTGGCTCTCCCACACTTTAATCTTGCATATCTTTATACCGACTCACATTCTATTTTCTTTTACAAATAGACAACAAAATAAATCGATGAAGAAGAGTGACTATGTTATTTATATTTATTTGTTATACAATATTTTGTTAAACAAATAATTTCGCAGTGAGTGTGAGACAAATCAGCATGTATCAGTGTGTATTTAAGAGTCATTGTGCTTTGATTGTAGATCATTTGAGCAGTATGCAGTACACAAGTCAGGTGATAGTTAAATCGTTATTAGTTGCTCTAACTGGTAAGTTATGCTAAAATCATCCTTATTTTCTTAGGTTGTAGACTGTTTCTCTTTTGCTGGAAGCAGCAGTGTCAGAAAAGCAAATCAGATTTAGAAATACCTACTTTTATTATTTTTTTTTTCATTTGAGCTCACCATATGTAGTTATGTAGGTAATAGTATATAACTCATATTTTGTCCTAAACAAAAACCTTCAACATTAGTTGTATTTATTTCTTTATATATACTTTATTACACATAAGTAGAAATACGTTGAATACTGTAACAGAATTTTATGGTTATCTACAATGGGCGGTCTTATCACACAAAGCGATTTCACCAAGACGAGTTTTAGATATAAATATATAAAAAAAACCGACTTCAAAAACAAAAAAGTGACAAATAAGTAATTAAAATTGATATTTTAATACCACTCTTACGTACGCGAAGCTAATACTTTTAATATTAATAATAAAACACTATCAATTCTATGTGCTACCTATTCATAGGTTTGAAGTCGGTGCCAAGCCTAATACATAATATAATAAGCATGATACATGAGTACCTAAACTCGCCGGGAGCGTGTGAATTTATTTGTTAGGATTTTAGAAATTTTGTACCCATTTTCTAACTTGATGGCGTTAGCGTAGAATCAGAAATCTATATGGTTTAATTACCGGCGAAACTAGTATTTAACTTAGAAAGATATTTGTACGAATTATGAATTCTGAAAGTTTTCTCGTACTTGGTTGTTAAAAGTAGTAGTAAGTTGCTGCGTTGTTGGAAATTTCGTCTTTTAGCAGTTAAACAGTCATAATTCTCATTTAGTTTTATTCTGTTTAGGGCTTGGCACCGACTTCAAACCTATGAATAGGTAGCACATAGAATTGATAGTGTTTTATTATTAATATTAAAAGTATTAGCTTCGCGTACGTAAGAGTGGTATTAAAATATCAATTTTAATTACTTATTTGTCACTTTTTTGTTTTTGAAGTCGGTTTTTTTAAACGTAGTTTTTTTATTTTTTACTTTTTAGTGTCTGTTACAAGTTCTTCTGTAAACTACAGTAACATATTAAATATAAATTAACATATTGAATAGTAGGTATATATTTTTTAAGTAGCTATGTGTAGGCCTACAAAAGAAGCCGCTCGATTAAAAAATATAGATCCCAAGAAATGGGCAAATTCTCATCATCATCATGAGCCATTTTAATGTTCCCACTACTGGGACACAGGCCATCTCTCAAGGAAAGGGAACGTTCTTAACAATATAAATAAATTAAGTCCAAACACGAGGTAGCTACTGTAAACCGTTGAGGAGTTCCCTGAGCTGTCCTTCGTTCTCATCATCAGACCCTTAATTACAGTTACGACTAAGCCTACTGCAAAGTGCTCGCTAATACGAATCATTCAAGCCCAAACACATGGCAACTACTCCCAATAGCCAAGGAGATCCCTCGACTGTCTTCCAGCTCCAACATCTGGTCGACTTCGACCTTCGTCAAGTTGTAGTGTTGTTAAAGGCCAACTTAAACATCATACAAAAAAACTACTCGCCCCTACAATTTTCGAAAGTTCCCCTCGGTTTCTCCAGGATTCCATCATCAGATCCTGACCTCCTCACAATGGGACCAAATGGCAAGTATACCCTATCGAATAAAAAAAGAATTTTGCAAATCGGTCCAGGCGTCTTCGAGTAATCGGTGTACATACATAAAAAAAAAAAAAAAAAAATACGCGTCGAATTGAGAACCTCCTCCTTTTTTGAAGTCGGTTAAAAATACTTAGCAATGGGAAGTGAAGTCTACAATCAACTAAATTATTACATAAAGAAAATAAATTTATAAATTTGCATAGTAATTATTTTTATATGTAATAACTCTGTTTCAGTTTCTTCAGGATCATGTTGGCAATTTTTTACATCAATAGGTGATTATAAACTGACTAATTCTCCGAAGACTGAGGGTAAGTCTAAGAACGTTATACATATTATATGGATAACACTACGACGTGATTAGGCATAGGAAGAATGGTTTTTAGATTCCAGGAGAAGGAAAGGGAGTGTTTTAGTCAGTTAGAGTGTGACTCTCCCTCTCGTCATACGTCATTTGATGATTTTCCTCTTACAAAAAAGGGATACCTCTTACAAGTAGTAAATGTTCAGCCGTTTGCCATATGGGACTAGCAATAGAAAAAGAGAATATCGTTATCTGCTGTATTGCTTAGTAATTAAATTACTGATGTAGTTGTAAAATACCAAAATAAAATACATTAACTAAAAATCGCGGGTTACTCACGTGTATATATTGAGAAAAGCTCTACTAGTTTGTTTGTTGTAGGTTGCGCGACGTCGCCGCGTCCGCGCACGCTGCTCATGAGGAAGAACCCCTCTGTGGTTCGCAACTAGTAGAGCTTTTCTCAATATATACACGTGAGTTACCCGCGATTTTTAGTTAATTTAGTATGTCTCACGATAGTTATTATAAAAACATAAAATACATTCACGACGTAGCGTGTTATAAAATACAAAAAAATATAACGTAAAATCAAAAAGTATAAAACTAAAGAATATCAAGGGCAACATTTTTTTAGAATTTAAAAGAATATCAAGATTCGTGGTTGCAACACGGCATGGTGCTTTACCGTAATAGAAATCCATCGGTCAGACAACGATTCGTGAAATTGAAAACCTAATTTATTCCCATTTATTTCGATTTCGTTGTTATTGAATAATATTTTCAGCTTTAAATATTCAAAATGTTTGATTTGAGAGATATTTAAAGTGATTTAAAACTATATTTTTGTTACTAATCTTTTTTAGAACACTTACACAGTCAATACATGTATGGAGATTGCAAACTTGGTGAAGTAAAATTTTATACCCATGTACATCTGGATCATACGTCAGTATTAGGAAAAGTAATAATACGGGTAAGTGTTTAATATTGTCATGTTCTTCTCTTCTCCTTGATTTTTTTTATGTAATAGGTCGGCAAACAAGCAGACGGATTACCTGATGGTAAGCAATCAGCGCCGCCCATGGACACCCACAACGGAGGAGTTACGAGTGCGTTGCAAACCATTTAGGGATTAGGGATTGAGGAGGGATTGGGGGAGGGGAAGCATTGGGTCTCCGGTAACCTCACTCACACTGCGAAACACAACGCTGCGGTTATTTCACACCAGTTTTGTGTGAGGCCGTGGTATCACGCCGGTCGAGCCGACCCATTCGTGCCGAAGCATGGCTCTCCCACACATGGCTCTCCTATGATACCTTCGTTTTGGTATCTTAGACAGTAGTTTTTTTGGAGATGGCGGGACACGAGGACACGTATTACCTGATGATATAATAGCTATCGGCGCAAAATCAAAAGAGCTACGAGTGCGTTGCCGGCTTTTTGGGGATTAGAGTTTCGGATATAAGGATTGGGGAGAGATGGGGGGAGGGTATAATTGACCCTCCGATAAGCCCACACACAAGGCAAAACAAAACGCAGTGGTTGTATCATGTCGGTTTTCTATAAGACGGTGATACCAAACCGATCGAGATGCCAAAGCATAGCTCTCTCGCCGTTCATATTGATAAGACTGCATTGTTTTAGCGCTTTCTTGGTTGCTATATACTTAAGACCATTACTAATAAGAATTGCAAGGAATCCAGTGTTTTAGGTCTTGTTCAATGACTCTAAACTTCTATGATCTGACAATGGAGCTAGATAAACATTGTCACAGAGCAAAAGGTATTTTTGAGCAACGAATAGCGTACTTTTTCTCATTGCCAGAAGCTGTTTACAATAATAAAACATCTCTAAGATCTACTTAGTCGGGTCATAAGTTCTGTCACAAACTTTTGATGTAATAACTTATACGCCTTTTGACAATTATTTAAAAATTATATATGAAATGAAAGGTCATTAAATGTACAATATAATTTTATTTACATTATTCGAAATGCCCTCCCCCATTTTGAACACATGCCCTTAATCTACGCGGCCAGTCATCGATCGCTGCACGCACCACATTCATATCTATGTCTGCCGCTGCTTTAACCAGAGATGCTCGGAGAGACTCCAAATTCGGGTGAGGTTTAGCACAGACTTTTTCCTCCAAATATTGCCATATCTTGTAGTCCAGTGGGTTTAAATCTGGACTAGAAGAGGGCCAGTCTTCATGCCGGATGAAGTCAATTCCACGAGCGATCAACCAGTCTTGCGTACTTCGTGCCTTATGAGCCGGTGCAGAGTCCTGTTGGAATATCCAATGCCTGTTCCTGAACATTGTCTGAGAAAGAGGTTCCACTATGTTTGTTAGGACAGTATTTTGATAAACTTCGGCACTAGTTCTCACACCTTTTTCACAGAAAAACACCTCAGTTACGCCTGAATATGAGACTCCAAGCCAAACCATGAATGAGGAAGGGTAATGCCCACGCTGGACCCTCGCAATACGCGCGCTTGCTTCTTCACTGCTGTGGGCATACACCTTATCATTTTGTTTGTTAAAACTTTCTTCAATAGTAAAAATTTTTTCATCCGAAAAAAGAATTTCGCGGTATTTTTTTCCCGCGTACCGTCGTAGCAAAGCGCGGGATCTGTCTAGCCTAATTTTTTTTAAACGCTCGTTCAAAAAATGTCCTGTCTTTTTACGATAAGCTCGTAGTCCCAGGTCTTCATTTAGTACTCTTTTAACAGTGGTTCTGCTTAGCCCCATCTGCAGAGCTAGGATTTTTTGTTTACGTACGGGATTTCGTTCGATTCGCGCCTTCACTGCTTTGATGACCTTATGTGTCCGAACTGTGCGAGGTCGGCCGCTTCTCTTACGATCTTCGAAGCTTGACTCTTCGGTGTATCGTTTGATAGTACGATAAACAAACCGTAACGTTATTTTCAAATTTTGAAGAATATTGAAAATGTCTTTTGGCGCGTAACCACAGCGGTGCAACGCGATAACCGCGATTCTGTCTTCTTTATTCGACCACTCCATATTTAAAAATGAATAAAAAATAATTTCTTTTTTATTTTCTACAAGCGCGAAAGTTCTATTTTTAAAATAAGTCGAAGAATTTCTGGCCAGTAATCGAAAATTAAAAATATAAGGTTTTGACAGAACTTATGACCCGACTAAGTATATATCAGAAGTACGTTGCAGATAGCAGGATCAAAGAGTGTACATACAGTAAATATGTATGTATTTGTGAACATAATTAGGTCATTTTAGTTCATAATACATTCTCCGCGGTTTACTGGTCTCTGTCGAAATTAGTCGCCATGACTGAAATCAGTTCGAAACACTAATAAATTTTATTTGTATTTCAGGGTTGGCTGGATTTAATAAGAATACCAACGTGCATTATAATAAGAGGTTATGGATACGAAATTGACATGTTAAGAAGTACAACTTACAATTTCCAAATCTGTGTGCCGCGTATAACATATTGTCACACGCATCGTAGATTCAAATACTATTATTATGAATGGTATATACCACTCGATCTGGTTGGTGGTATGAATTGGGATCTCTATTTTTACGGGCCACCGTCTGCGGAGTGGCAATAAACGTATTAAGTATTTAAATTAAGTAAAAATATGTCTGCTTATTTCAACGGAAGGATTTAATTAAACTTACAAAAATTTTGTTGTGTTTTTATTCATATCACGTTATACGTACCTTGGGTAAATTGTTTATTATAATACCTTATACCTTTATTCATCGTCAAATCGAATAACTTAATTTTTATTCATTAAATACAGGAAACATAGTTTATCAAATGGCTTCACATTTCAAATTATGTTTGGCAGGTGGATTTAATTCTGGATCCAGTATTTAACATTTATCCAGTTTCATAACTGGATAAATGTTAAATACTTAGATAGATTGCTGATATTCTAAATATTGAAGTTCTCGTTAATATTGAAACACATTGCTTAAAACACACCGCACCTAGTAGGTATTCAAGGGTAGTACCACACCGGCTCGGCGTTGGCACTAACATTGTAATCTAATTTTCATCAATCTCAGGGACTTTTATTAATACTTAGTCCATAGTTCATTCTTTTAATTATTAGTACATCATTCTCAATACCAGAAAACCACAACAGTTCATTCTTATTGTTTCCTCAGACAACTACCGGCCAAAGGTAATATTTATTAAAAAAATACCTAAACTTACTTACTAAGTATTCTTCTTCACTTCTCTACAGTCATTAGTGTTGGTAATAAGCGACTGCCAAGAATAGCCTAGTAATGTTTTTAATATTCGAAGAAAAAGAATAATCTGAAAGGAAATCTATCTAACTTTGTGAAGTTATGTATTACATGCCCCCTCATCTATTTTCAAACTCGTCTTCTTTCATTCAACAATAGCGAAGCAGAGTCTACAATTTCATACGCGATATTAAACCTAGCAGTCTATAGTAATATAGAAATCAATTTCTATTCATAAATTCCGATAGCTAAGCACAAAGTTGATTGTTACATTCGTGCAATCAGAGACGATTAAATCCTCCGAGCATTGAATTGCTAGCGCGGAACATTGCTCGCAAGACTCTGTAGGCGCAGCTGGTACGTTCCACATAACCTAAAATACTATGAATTATTCATAATTTACTGTCGTATTACCCACTTATTGGTTACGTTACGTGTAGCGTGTTTATATAAATAAATGATTTGATGTTGCTTATCCAGGATTTGAATAATATGTTCTTACTTTTTCCTTTGCACAAAAATGTAGGTATCCTATAGGAAATACTCTAGCAAAACAAATGACAGTTCCGGGAAAGATTACAATAATGCACACATTACGTGGATCTGCGGATGCGATGTCGCTCACCAAGCCGCGTACATCGCGTGTTTTGAAAAGCCCGTGGGCGTGTTTTAAAAAGCCTGTTGGCCACAGGTCCAATGTCCAGCCGGGGTTGCCAGTGCAAGTAGTGATGTACCGCAGCCAACCTCTGTGTAAAAACAGGAACCGTGTGGCTTTTAGCCCTTAAGAGTGTAACGCTCCCTCTTCAAGATTCAATTTTTATTGCAATATAAGCAAGTACTTAACGAAGTTTTACTTGAATGAAATACCTTATGAGGAACTACCTAACATGCTTGATTAGATATTACATAATATGTGAAATTCACTTTTAAATCAATATTTTATTCCAACCGGTCAACCTGAAACTCGATCAATTCTGTCGAAAAATGTAGGACGCAAGTTAATGCAGTCATGATAAATCTTTAAATATGTATACCTAGGTAATAATAGACCGGGATATATGTGTAAGTAGGTGAATATATTAAATAATTAAGTATAAGCCTGTCTGCTTACACTCATACATATACTGTATAATCTCCCAAGTAACGTGGATAAGCCTCGCTTCATATACGTGCTTCAAGTTTGGAGCTGCGTGGCACAGAGTTTTTAATAATACCACTGAAAACGAAAATTTTTTGTAGATACTTTGCATATATTGCTTTCATATCTCTTTTGTTTTCTTTATTCTTCGATTTAATTCGATTTCGATTATATTATTTCGAAATTAAAATTTTGCACAAAATTAAGCACGCTATTGTACTTATATTTCTCCGTTTACTGGCAATAGGTTTTTAAAAGACTTTACTAATATTTTAGACTTTACTATTAAACGGTAGGCAAACGCAGGCGTGTCCGCTGATGGTAAGCGATCAGCGCCACCAATACTATTTCGTATTATCTAAGTATTTTTATAATAATACTTTATTTTAGTACTTTCTAATTCTTCTTAACAAGTGCCATGTGTACCTAAATAATTATCTAATACTTTTTAAAGAGCCAAGATATATTTAAGTATACATAGGTACATAAAAGTGTACATGTTTAAGCTTGTACCATTCTACTTGTTCCATGGTTTGTAAATAGGGTAGTTCATTTTTTAGCGACGTGTTCCACATTTTTGAATTTTCGAATGCTTTGATACTATTGTTTTGAGTGATCCCATCTTTTGTAAGGTAACCTTGTGTGTGGAACAAGTTCGAATGCTTTGATACCATTGTTTTGAGTGATCCCATCTTTTGTAAGGTAACCTTGTTTGTACCGATATTTTAGAGTCTTGGTTGCTTTTATATATTTGAGTACCCTAAATGACTGTGTACTTCAAATATAGGTTATACCTAGACATTATATTATATCAGATATGGTTATTACATTGACGCTTTAAGTGCTGATTAAATATAAGTTGTGTACCTCAGTTCTTTGTTGCAATCTATATCTTATCAAAATAAGTTTTACGAGAAGTATTACGTGTCTATTGCAAACTGATCCGGGATTAAAGTTCTGTATTATACATTATGTATGTGCGAAAAATTGTTAGTATTTTATCTGTATAATATTATATGGATGTTATATACACAATGATATAAAGATATCGTAACAAGTTTGTTTTGGGTGTAATTTATCCAAAATCTGCGTAATGTTGGATTTGAGGAAAGAAAACACGTATCGGCAAACTGTCATAAAAGAAGATACTTAACAAATCAACACTAAATTATAACCCTCATGATCGTTGAATCTTTAATAAATCTTTTTATTTATTATTATAGTTAACTCAACTTTTTTCATGACTAATTAAGGTAGATATGACAAACGTAGCCCAGGTGACGAGGCTGCGTCTTGTGTCACAGTATGAATATAAGCCCTTAGCGTGAAATGAAACTAGCGAGTTTCTTGTCAAACTGTTACGAGAGTAAACCACATAAAATAATTATAAGAATGTCTCACAAAAGTTATAAAACGAAAAAATCCTTTTAATCTTGATAAAAAAAAAAGCTTTCTGCTCAAAGGAGATCCCAAACTTATGTACTTGTTTCAGGTTAAGTCAGGTCAGTCCTACGATAAAATAAAATAATAAACAGTACTTATATTCAATCAGCTAAAATTCGCTGGTAATGTACATCTGTACATGTCAGGCCAATAGCACTAGGTGGTGGCGATCTCTATCATCACAAAGGAACACTTCAAGGCACTTCAGTGCAAGATAGCCGTGTCAGATGGCCACTTTTTCATCGATTCTCTATTATAACGGCGGCCTCTTGAAACTATGATGTTATTTTTTGACCTAATATTAGCTAACTATGAAGTTTGGCTATAAGTTATTGCGAGATATGTAGATAATGTAAATGCATATTTTTATAAAAATCCCATTTACGATATTTTCCCAAAGTAAAAGTTGAAATAAAATTATGCACGAATAGTATACACGTTAGGAAGAAAGTATGTATACACAGAAGGTAACAATTCTAAAGAGAAGGTAAAAACAAAGGAAATTAATGTAGTCACATTCCTTGCCATTAATTTCCACTGCCGAGCAAAAATGCTTTCAACTCCTCAGGTTTGTCATAACTTCCTCGCTTCCTTAGGGCCTTGGAAATCGCAGTAAGTTCATTAAAAATCTGAATGAAATCTGCTGGCTACCTTCCAATGGCTGGTCGGAGGAGGAGAGTTGGAGGACTTCAACCGCTGGTCTAACGTCAACTCGCCACTTCAACTTAATGGCTCCCTGCGACTCTGCGACAATGGCGTCAGTGGTCCACCTAGCGGAAAGCCTGCCTCTGGTACGTTTTTCGAGCCTTTTAGGACAACCTTACTCGATATAGTTACGCGGATATTAACGCGGACAATTATTATTTGAATACCTTGTAAATAGAGTCTGCTTGTGACCACAACCTGTGCAACCGGTTCGAAACGTCAAGCCTACCAACGTATTCAAATAATAATTTTCCGCGTTAATACCCGCGTAACTATACATATGTTGTTAATATGAAACGCGAAAGTTTAAAAGTTAGTATAACCTTACTCGAAATATATAATACCATTGGTAAACATGACACTAGGCACGATTTTGTTTGAAATCAGTCAATGAAAATTATGGGGATTAATGTTATCAGCGGTACAATACTGTTAAGTACAAGATATAAGAGTAGGTTAAAAGATAGAAAGAAGGCTACTGACTTTTATTTGTCCCTATAAGTAGACATAATTTATAGCATTATATACATAATAATAATTATCCGTATGAGTAGCAATAATTTATAGTTATACACTAGTGAATTCTGTATCTGTAACTGTTTTTTTCTGAGGGGAGAATCAACAAAGGATTTCACCAACCCAGGATGGTTCAAGAGGAAGTGTCAGACTTTTACAGACTAAAACACCTCGTTCCTTGTCTGGCTCTAGGCCGCAGTGTATCTGTAATAGCTGGCAAACGTAATGCAACAAAACGACTCATTGAAACGATGAATTATTTTTACAAATAGGCCATAAAACGGCACTTTCAAACGTCAATTTATATATGAAAACTAAATGAAGCCGTTAGAACATTAATATAATGATCAAACAATACCCACATAATATATATTGGTTAAAGACATCAATATTATTCAATATAGTTTGCTGATGACGACGGCTTCTCTTCTTATGTGGCCTAATAGTAGTAAATAGCCATAGCCATGGATCGATCGATTGATTATTTTGAAAAAAGTTGCTGGAAACCCTGTGTGGATAAAGATTATCAACCTATTTGGGTCTTAGTGAGATATAGATATGCCTATTAAGAAAAATCCCATCCCAAGATTAAAAATTAAAATATTTCAAGGAAACAAAACCAGGAAAAGACCAATCCCAAGGAGTTTTTCGGGCTAATTACCGCTGGATGTCTACTTAGTCAAATAATAAAAATATAACAACACAAGACTTGCTCAGTTAGAGATAACATTTTAACGCCACGAACTTTGGTTATCAGCGTAATATTCACATTCTGTGTTAATATAAACAATTGTCCGAATTCCCAAGCGTTCTGGTAGTCGGAACACGTTTCTGCGTTTCATTTTTTTTTTTTGTCAGGGGAAATAATCAAATGACTTCTTCCGCCCCGGGTAAGGCGAAAGAGAGTGTCACACTCTTACCGACTAAAAACCCCCCCGTTTCTTCTCCTGTTTTGGGCCGAGGTCCTGGTGCCATATTGTGCTTACCCCGCAACCCTGGCCGAACATCAGCCCTGTAGGGCCCATCGGGTCTGTGGTGGTCTATTGGCGATTCATGCTATATATTATATCCCACGCAGTATTTGGTCTGTTAATTGGAAAGTTCTAGGTTGGGTCGTAATTTAAACTTAAAAAACAACTCAATTATCAAGGGTTTCTATAGGCACCACAGGCGGGGCCCTATAGGGCTGATGTTCAGCCGGGGTTGGGGGTTAAGCGCAATGAGTCACCGCGGCTTTGGCCCAGAGCAGGAGAAGGAACGTGGGGTTTTTAGTCAGTAAGAGTCTGACTCTCTCTCTCGCCTAACCCTGGGCGGGAGAAGTCATTTGATGTTCCCCTGACAAAAAAAGGCTTTCTATAGGTATATGTAGGTAGGCACGTAGATTGTGTACACGTGTTCAGTTGATTTTTTATTCTAGGCACTTCTGTTGTTACCCTTGCTAACTAAAAGAACCAGAAGATAGCTAACTATAAGTATTGCAAAAAAATTGTCTTTGGAACAAATTCGTTACCGCAACAATTACTAATTATTATCCTATGAAAAATCTTTTTTGTGCGAAGTATTAAACGAGTTTCTAAACAATACATTATTCTAGGATAAATGCTGATTATTAAAATTAATGGCCAAGTGTCTTTCCAGGCCAAGGCGATCTTGCTTCTAGTACCTAAAGTCAACCAATTATTATTTTACTACTTCTCATGATTATTAAAGTGTTATTTAATAACAATCACTATTTGAAGATACTTGTAATGTTACAGAATTGTTATCGGAACATTTGCTGATATAACAAGAATAGATATTGTTATTTCTGTTTGGCAATATGGCGGAAAGTGGGTGTATTTGTCTAAATATTTCGACGAATTTATGACATCATGATGCTTGTATAAAACCTGTTCAGTATGTTGGGAAAATGAATTACTGTAAGTTAAGTAAATAAACAAAATCCTATTATGTTATCGATTGATTTAGTGTATTCGTTAGTCGTTCACTATAGTCAGACTTTTAATTCGATTCCTGATTTGACATTGGTGAAATAATGATACCACATATAACAGTGTAGTGATGAACACAAAAATCGATAAACAATCAGTGAATCAGCTTCAGGAAGGCATTCAAAAAATTACGGCTACCGAATGGTCTAAATGTGTATCCCATGTTTTCAAAGAGGAGGAAAAAATTAGTAAGCTCGATATGTTAATTGACAATAAATATCAAAGACACAATTCATAATAAATGTTACATAGAGTAACGGCGATAGCGATAGCGATGACGGCGACAATTTATAAAATGTCTGTTTTATTTGTCACGTTCCTTCATGATCGCATTTTTTATTAATTTCACACAAAATTACAAAAGAAAAGTCTCAGATCGTTAATTAATTGTCAAAACTAAATTATCGGTTCAGAAATATTTTATTTCCTGATAAACTTAGTTTACGAGAGTAAATTTATAAACGAGAGGAATCGATTCAGAAATATTCGATTTCCATATCGAATAATTTCGCAACGTCACTATTTATTACGTGTCATAACGTTGCAACACTGAAATTGTCAAATCTGGAATGGAATTAAAATTCCGATTATAGAAGCATAGGATTTAACTCGTTATTTGTTTAATTCTAGTTTTAGTAGGAGCAAAGGTTCAGTACGTTTTCGTATTTTAATGCTTGGCAATTTTTACTATAACGGTATAATTTAGTAGGGCCTAAATGCTTCAATACCTATACCTAACTGCCAATACAGTCATTGAATAAGTTTTTTTTTGGAGAGATATATTGGTATAGTATGCCTTTGTAGGCATACTACTATAGGTATATTATATATCTCTCCGTTCCCAAAGCTCGAACGTAACTTGATGAAAACAACGTTAGACAATAGTAGCCAGGCCCAATGCCTGTATAGAACAGAAAGCCGGCCGCGATTGCCCCGACATCTATGTATGGCGCTCGGCAACCAATGTTTTACCAATCCAATTTTCGGTAAATCTGCATGCAGCCAGAAAATATGTTGCTTTCTTATTCCATTTTCTATTTTGAAAAACGCTGACTTTTTCTTTCGTGTATATTTACAGGAATTTGGGTAATGACAAAGGTGAAAAGATAGGTAAGTACTAAATAACAATGTAAGTCATTTTTTGGAAAAGGGCAGGCATATAAAAGTCTGTAATTAAGTGTTATGTATATTTCAGTGGGGGAATTTATGATTTGAATTTGACTTAAATATAACAGCCATTTTTGACAGACGACTGATAAAATTATCATTAAAAACAAAAACAAATACTTTGTGAAGAATATTTATTTATTTTCAATTAAGGAAAAATGTTAAGAACAAGTTAAATAAAAATATGACCAACTTGAAATTTAATCAGTAAACACTGTTATCTCTCTACTAAATTAGGTATTCAAAATGAATTGTTAGGTATTACGAATATAAAGTTTATCAAAGTAGCGATAAACGAGGGATTTTTAGTTCAAACAAGGTCAAATAGGGTCAAGTTCTCATTAAAGTAATTACTGATATTCAAAACTATACAAGTTAAAGATGTTTAAATAATAAAAAACATGTTAAGACAAGATAGTATTGTTTTAGCAACAAAATCGTTAATGATATTTTGGATAATTAACAAGTTTATAAAAAAAGATGTTTCTGGCAAAACCAAATAAACTTGTAAATATTTTTGAAGAAAGCAAGAACTAACTTAAAAATAATATTAAAATCCTCAAAACAGTCTAAACAAACTAGATGCTGGAAAAAAACGTGACCTGAACACACACGCCCGATTATTTGGTTGGCCAACAAAATGTATCAATCTCCACTGACCTATAAAACTGACTAATGCAAACATTAAGTTTCCAAGGTCGTATTTTCATTTCAATAATATGTTTACAGCTTACCTCTCAATTCTGTGAAAATTAACAATTGAAGTAATATTTTTCAAAAGTAACAATAAAATAATAAAAATAAAGTAAACCGTCGTTGTTGGTTTGTTTTCATTATCTTTATTGAACTACAATTTCTATTTTCAAATTTAAAAATAGGAATCTATACTTCCGGCACTCGTGGCGGATATCTTCCCGGTATATGATCAGGATTGTTAGGGTTGTACTCCCAGATAAGGTACTCGGGTTCGTTAAGATACAGGGGAGGTATATCATCACTGGGCTCCAACTCTTGTCCTACAAGATTCTTGTTGCGTTTCAAAAGTTCCTTTACCTTCGCTAGTGATTCTTCAGAAATCTCTAAAAAAGCACAATTTAAAATGCAAAATTTTTGAAGTAGTTTATTCATTAATTAACATGCATACGTCACCGTCACGGGCGATCAATATTGTATGTTATTCTATTGTTTTGTTGTTTTGTTAATTGACTATTTGCTCTCCTGGTAAGTGACGATGCAGTCTACGACGAAGCACATACACAATTTTTTTTCATTTGGGCCTTTTATGCCCGGTTCCTATAATTGAGAAACTATCCGTTTTAGTTACGAATAGTAGTTTTATATACGACTCGTAAGCTAAAACCGTTCCTATAACAAACGTCTCGTCGTGCAACTTACTGATGGTTTGCAACTAACGGATGTCGGTAAGCGAATTGTATGGAGATCTATGGTGTTTGTGGTGTTCCTATAAATATTTTAACCGTCAGTAGACGGTCAAGATAACTATTCGTAATGTCATTTGGTCGTAATGCGTATACAACGACGATTCGTTAAATATAGGAACCGGGCATTAGACATTAAGGTTTACCCCACTATAAGATACATTCCTGTGTCGTCCGTCGGTTTACAAGCATATAATTTCGCAAACATATCACACTCACACCAGGATTTATGGATTACACAAAGAGTCGTTCTTGCAGGAATTGAACCCGCAACCGTGCAGTGCAGGCAAACAAAGTATTAACATTATAGAGCCAATTTGTAACACAGAATAACTCATTTCTATAGTTAAAAGTGAACATAACATTTATACCTTTATATAAAATTTTAAGTTATAGCAATATTTACAATGATTACTGGTGCAAACTCACTAGTTCTTCGTAGGTCTAATTTAAGAATCTTTTTATTCCTTTCAAGGGCTCGAATTAAAGTCTTTTCGGCATCACCTGACAAATCATTGGCGGCCATATCTAGTCTAGTGAGACCACGATTCAAGCTGAGGAGCCCCGCCATCTGAAAGGCAGTAAAAACCGCAGGTGTTACGGCCATACGAGAGAATCATTATAATACATCGTTATACGCATTCAATACGACCAATAAACAGTCAACTTGTAAAATATGTTATTTTCTTAGCATTCTGGTTCAGAAACGTGATCTTTTCATTTTGAGTTATTTTTATTTTTTAGATGACAGAAAAGTATCCCACCTTCTCTGCAGACGCTCCGCTAAAACCACAAGAGTTAACGATCAAAGTTTGCGGTTTTTCCTTGCACCTGACAAATGCTGCCGCGAACATAGTCGCACATTCTAGAGACATCGGGTTCAAGCTAAAGTCTGCAAAAATAATTACAGCAATTTAGTAAAACTGTTCCGTTGGTATCTTATCTTCATTTTTACTGTACCTAAAAGTTCTATTGGCGCTGCTGGTTTCATCTGCAAGGCATAGGCGATTCCTTGGATGCCTTCTTCTTTAAATCTGTTGTTAGCTATTCTCACCACCTTGACATTTTCATGAATAAAAATAAAACCACCAAGCGCTTTCATCCCGTAATCACCAATTTTACAGTGATTAAAATCCAATTCTTCGATGCTCGCCTTTTTGACAAGGTGTTGGAGAATCAGTTTGACTTTAGAGCAATCTAGGTTGCTTCGGTTGATGCGAAATATTCTCAAATGTCTCAAATCTTCTAAACCACGGCAAATGGAATCACAATCAGCCATTGAAAATTCGAAATATCTCGTCTGGTATCTATCTTCTAAATTATTTATACCAAATACTAGAGATATTTCTTGGAGGTTGTATAGTTTAGCTAAAACTGGCTCCAGGGGAATGTGATCATAGACTTTTGGAACACTGAATTCGCACGTGTCTTCTACTAAATCGGAAGGTAGGGGGGGTTTTGGTTGACGTACCATTTGCAGCTGGTTTAGTCCAAAAAAGTAAATATATGGACTGACCTGTTAATAAAATAAAAAAGGTAAAATTTCAGTTTGACTTTCGTGAAATACAATGAGACTACAAAATAATAAAATTCACATACCAATCCAGCAAGCTCTACAGCTTCATCTTCCCTAAAAACATCAGGGTTAACAGATTCCAAATATTCTTGAAGATAAGCAGACAAGTAAGTTCCTTTCCAGAAAATGTCACCCAACTCCCGTTTTGTAGGGAATTTAGTAACGAATGATCGTTTCCAATATTGTTCATCCTAAAACACACAGCAACATTTTATACTCCACTACAGTTTATATCCTTTATTATTGGCACCGATGGAGAAGGTTTGTCGGTTTCAGATCAGCATTTCTCGTAACCAATAAACAGAATAGCTTATTAAATAATAAGTTTCAAACAACAAAAAGAAACCTTGATGTAGGGGACGGTGTACTTCAGTAGAATATCATCAGGGTATAAGTCCATCAACATATCGATGTCTTTCTGAAGAATTTTTTCCAGTGGATTGATGATGTGGAACATTCTTGATAGTTGGAGAGCTGCGTAATATGTGAGTGGAGCAGGTGTCATGTTGGTGTCCCATTCAAAGTCCTCAGCTCTGATCTTCCGAGGAGCCTCTGCAGGTGACATCGTCATTGTCGGTAGTGGGGCATAGGCCTCGTAGATATTCATATTAACCACGTAAGGGACTTTCATCGTGCCGTTGTTTTTAATAAACTTTACAAGAGATTCTTTGATTCAACGATAGTAAATAAATTATCGAAATCGAAAACGTCACAGTTGACTTGTAATTTGTCAATGGTTTTATTTTTCTTTAATTAGTCCTTGAGTACTCGTATTCGTGGTCAATCCTATTGAAAAAAACTTTTTGTTGATATATTTATTTATTTTTTGCTTTTGTTTGCAAATGTATGGTTCCCCTGGGTTCCCCTTAATGTCGGGCAAAATATTAATTAAGGTTTTTTAATATGAGTATACTCAATAGCAAACGGTTTACATTTTAATGTTTTATCTTTTTTTTATTCAGGGATGTACACCTTTAGAGATCTTCAATAATAATTATTTTATAATTATTAATTCAAGGTACTATACCAACAGTTTATGTATATATACAGCACTTTAAAAAGGGTAAGATTTTTATTTGTTTATTGTTACACATCACTAAACATTAATAAAAAGATAAATAAAAACTATAAAATTGAAAAATATACAAATTTTAATAACGTTTATTTACATAAACAAAGTGGAAGGAATACAAAATGATAAATATAAAAACAAAAATTATAATATTAAAAAAAAAAATTGGACCATAAAATTATCATGTGATTTTTAGGAAGAAAAAGTAATAAGATTAAATATAATATTTTGCCAGTGAAGTCAATTAAGCACGTAATTTATTATGGCTTAATATACATATTATTACATAGCATATACTAAATTAACAATTAACCTAGTCACCAGTTAACTAAAATGACGCAGAAGTCATTTAAACAACAAATACAGTGTATAATGTATATTAATAGTACAAAGTTCACCAAAACACAGCTAACATAAACACGGCATTCGGGAGTTTCCGCGACTCTTCGTAAGCGTTCGGACCAAAACAAAGTTGTGTTCTGCGCTCACGCCGCATTCACTGTTTAGTTTGTTACCGTGTCATATCATATTGTAATATCGACCGGCGTGCGCGACTTTATAATATCTAATTTATATTTAAAGTAACAATATTAAAAAATTTCAACACTTTAAAATCTAAATCGTAACACAAAATGGATTCCAGTAACAAAAATTCGTCTCAAAACCGAAATACGGCTCAAGCTTCCAACTACAGCCCATGGAATTTGTTATTTACCTCAAGAAATCGCACCAACAGTGAAACAAGTGTTAGTTCTACAAATTCTCAAAGTAGCCAACCAGGTGAGTTTTATTTATGTCAATATTCATTCTATTTACGATTTATTCTTAGCTTTAAAAGAAGTCAGTCTTGTTGTCAACCACATCTTTTTTACATTCAGTATGAAAGAATGAGACAAAACATACGTTAAGTAAAACGGCTATATCATATATTTTATCAATAAAACTGGCATATTTAATGTTAACAAGACATAAACTTTTGCACAGAAAACATTCTTGGCTATTCGAGTTCTATGATAAATTCGTATTCGGCCAGCCACATGGTAACAAAAAAAAAAACAAACAAAGTGGGCTGGGCCCGACGTCGTTAGCACGTCACGTATTAACAATGCATATTAAAAGTAAGGTTAACTAGTGGAGAATGGAAACCGGTTACTTTGTTTGTCAACTGTCCGACCAATCTTAGTGTACAGGGACAATCTACAACTAAACAAAGTGCAATTCAAGGTTCATTAATAAGAAATAATAATACTCTATCATTACTTAATTTATGTAATAGGTAGGTTTAGTTTAAATTATCAAGTTCATTTTGTGCCACTTTCTAAACTGGTTCTTATAGGTAAACGAGTTGATAATTTTAATGTCAATGAATTTCATTTTTATCGCACAATAGTAATAACAAAGTTAACAGACGCTTGATTTAATGATGATGTTGCTTTATTTAGAATTGCTTTTGTAAAAATACTTAATTTACGCTGAGGTCATCCAGGTTACAAGTCTACAATTATTACTTATCATTAATGTTCTTGTAATAATATCAATTGCATTATCCTTACATTCAGATTCAATGGCTTGGGTATAAAGAAATGGAGCAAGTCCGTTGGCCAATTCGAACACTGCCATGTCTGTCATTATGTGTATTTCTCCAACATACAAAACAAAGGGTCTGTATGAATTTAAAAACTCGTTTATTTTCGTCCAAACGTTCGACGCATATGGCATTATCATGTGTATCGTGACGTCATCATGGCATTCTATTGGCACGCCATTGTGCCAAGGTTTTTACGATTTTACAATACTTATCAACATCTTCAATTAGAATACTCTTGCTATAATTGATTATCCAACGCACGAATTCTAAACATCGTGCCAGCAGTATTTTGGTTGAATTTTTTATCTGTTATATTTAAAACCTTGTTGTCATGAAAAATGATGTGGCATTATTATAAAAGATAAATGATTATGTAAATTGCTATAACAATGTCATCTTCTGCGCACAAAGTCGTTGTTCGAGCTTGCAGACTTTTTTGTTTTGCATGCGGTGTTGAAGGCTGTTAATAAGGAAATACATATTATAATGGCTTGCGATTACAATTGATTCTGTTTCGCAATTACATATTCAAATCAACGTCGATATCTAGTTTTTAAAAGACAAGGTTATTATAACTATTAAAAGGTCACTAGTTACGAGCGTTTTAAATAGATATTATTAATTAATTATTTGCTAAAAAATAATCAGTAACAAATGAGCCAAAGATTAATGAACGACACGTTTAAATAATTTTCCTTTAACGTTTGTGATTAACATAATACTTCCTTAAATTCGTTAGACGCACTCTAGACGACTGGTAATGCGTATTACTCTGAGATAAAATCGAAGATAATACTTATCTAATAGGTAAGGTTCCAAAATTCAATGTCACGCACTAAATATCTACAGTAACAATCAACGCACGCTATCTAAAAGCAGAATATAATCTTCAACTTGTAATCAATGGAGTACGAATTTCTTTGAATTCTTTTGAATTGAAACAGTAATTGCTGCTTCCAATATAAAAATAGCTCGAGGCTAAGAACCGGAAAATGAAGACCAATTATTTATAACCTTCAGACCTTCAAGTAACGGTATAAGCAAACGGATTTTCTCGATCAATGATTAAAAATCAATTGGGGGTGCTTCAAAAGTTTTACTAACTGATAAATTTTATGAGTCATATAAGACAACTCTGGCTGCGAGTAATGATCGCGGTAATAATATTTTTATTAGTGAACTTCTAAAACCAGTCACACTAATTGCAAATCTCAATATAGATATCAATTCAGAGAATCATGAAAGAGTTGAAAATAAAATTGTAAACACAGCCATCGATGACTGACCGTACAATCTCGAAGTAAATATTTTTGGAAACGTGTATGCAATATTTTGTAAGTAGGTAAACTAGAACGAGTAAAATATGATGATATGACATGATTGAAAATGTATACAGTTTCAACGATAAACAAAAAAACTTGAAAACAGAAACCTGACGTCATTTTACGATTGCACGGCTTTGTTCAACTCTAAAACGCTGACCATGAGAAAACAAAATTCAAATGTTGTAATGCCCACGAACTTGATTCTACTTTTGTGCAGATGGAATTATCATCCGTTCATTTGGTAGTAGGAAATGAAATAAAGGTACTTATACATTTTCAAAACAAGAGAGTAAATGCAACCGATGGAAAGTTTGCCAAGTGCCAAGTCTACACGGTCAATGTCAAGTAGGAAGAATGAAAGAGTTTCTAGAACATAATTCTATCTTACTCAGCCAATAAGAATCTTATTTTTTAAGAACGACGATTCCTGGTACCTTCCCTTTTTTGTGTGCGTCATTGCAATACTTAATAAAACATGCGACAGCTTTTGGTTATACTTTTTCATGAAGTAAATAGAGTCTAGTATTATATTTAGGTACCCATCGATCACTAATAAAGAACTATTCTTTATTAGTGATCGATGTAGGTACCTGAATAACTCGAGTAAGAAACCAATTGAGCAAGTTCTACAAGATCGTTTTCTAATCAACCTATTGACAATAAAAACTAAGCAAATAATCTCATTAGCAGAATAATAAACTAATTGAAATTGGAGTATTAATAATCGTATAGTAGTGTGATTTTTATAATTTAAAATATGATAATTAGATAACACTTGCTAAATCACTCATAAATCTGTTCCTAAGGCTTGATTAATAATATATCTGCGGACTCTGATCTCAAATGTCATGATGATAATAGTTTTTATTAAATCATATGATAGAGTTTTACGAAAAACGTACAAATCATTGATTATTTTTCATATCACTGCCTTTTTAAGCAATCGAAATCGTACAATCTACATGCATACAATGTTGAAATATTGCTCTCAAGTGATTATAGATACCTAACTATGGTTTATCATTGCAGGTACTCAATTTGGGGCACTACAAAGGCAAACGAGCAAAAACGAAGAATATCTTTGGATGATGTAAGTAAAATTATATTTTGCTTGCCATTTTTTTTTTTGCATTGTAATACTCGTGTGTTGTTCTGTCACGCCACGTTTTGATTTAAAAGCGATAGACTCGTATGGAGGTGTGTGCTATGATGTTCTTTCGTATTTCAACGATGACCTATTACGTGTCATACGAAACTAGTTTATTACAAATATTAGTTAGACTAATAACAGAAAAGGTCTTCATTTTCGTGTCTCGTTTAATAATATTTTAGATTGATATGAATCATCGTCCAATATAACGAATTAGAAAAATATTTTTTTTGCTATTTCTCTCACATAAGTATTCGCTAAGGGGTTAATTTCAAGCAGGGAGTATTAGTAACTAGTTTCATAAAGTCAAAGTCAAAGTAAAAATAAACAATATCAGACACGGAAAAATTTGTGGATTACACAAAGCGTTGAACATATTTCAGCAAATAATAATGATAAGCTTAAATAATATAATTTATTAATAATCAGCCTACAGTTCCAATATTTACAGAAACCAAAAGTAAATAGAAATCACAAAAATATTTGTGAAATAAAT